CACCTCAGTTCGTCCCCTGCGCATCCAAAAGCGAATGGACAAGTTGAAGCAGTAAACAAGATCATAAAGCGATGGCTTAAGCTAAGGTTGGACTCCAGAAAGGGAAGATGGGCCGAGGAGCTACCTGAGGTTCTGTGGTCATATCGAACCACCCCAAGGGAGTCAACTGGCGAAACTCCGTTCTCGCTAGCCTTTGGTTCCGAAGTTGTTGTACCAGTCGAGATCGGCATACCAACAGACAGGGTAGAGCAGTACGAGCCAACGAGGAACGAGGAAGAGCTACTCCTTAACCTGGACTTATTGGAAGGGAAAAGGGAAATGGCTCAGCTGCGCTTAGCAGAGTATCAGAACAGAATGTCATGACATTACAATGCCCGAGTGCGACCTCGAAGATTCCAAGTCGGACATTTGGTCTTGAGGAAAATTCAAAGTCATGTCGGCACCCTTGACCCAAGTTGGGAGGGACCATTCGAAGTAAAAGGTATAGTCCGACCTGGAGGGAAAAGTGCTTGCGCATCCATGGAACGCAGAGCACCTGAAGCGCTATTACCCCTGAAATGTCAAAATAGTCCCAAAAGGGGCTTGTAAAAATTTTCAAGGGGGCGGAACTCTCAATAAATGGGGTTATTTAATTTCATAACTCCGAATTCGATTAGAAATTAAATGGGGGTCACGAACTCTCGCAAGGCTTAAAATCGGCAACCTCAGAACCCACGGGTTCGAGATGCGATGTCAAAATCATTTACAATCCAAAATTCAATCCTTTGAACGCTTAAGTTAAAGGTGCGATGTCAAAGGTTCAAAAAATTCAATCCTCTAAACCTACGGGTTCGAGGTGCGATGTGAAAAGAGTTATCTCACAAGCCTTTAAACTTACAAAAGTTATGGGTTAGAAATGCGAGATGAATTTATTCATTTGTAAATTTCAAGTTGCAAAATTAAAAAAACCTAAAAGAAATAACAGAAGAACAGACAGAATTGGAGCAATGGAAGTTTCATTGATTAAAAAGGACAGAGCCAAGGCTTATATACCTTGCAGCTCTGCCCAAAAACTTGCAAGAAAAAATATATATAAACATAGAAGGAAAGAGAGCATCAGCTACTTCCGAGGTGGGAGGACAGCTCTCCCTAGGAGCCTAGAAGATTAACCTCCTGGGATCCGTTCTGCTGGGAAGGAACCTCCTCTTGCGTCGTGCCGATCTCATTGGGCTCTTGGCTAGGAGCATCCTCTTCTTCTACGTCGGAGTAGTCAGAGTTCAGCTCCCTGACGTACTTGTCCACCAGCGATTGGGGGCCAGGAGTCCCATTAGGCCCAGAAGCCCACTTCTCAGAATATTTCTTCTTGAGATCGCTGAGGTCGATCTGAAGGTGGGACATGTCGGCAGCAATGCCCTTCATCAGGAACTTGAAGCCGGCGTCACTGAAATCCTTGGCAAACCCATCAAAGTCTGGGTGTTGCCTGAACGCCTCCTCCAGCAGAGATCCATTGGTTAGGCGCTCCTTCAGGTCCTT